AACACAAAGTTGAAGTTGAATTTTCCACAGATAAAGAAGGAACTTTAAAGTTCAGCTCATGTTGCTACTTTTACTAACCCCTTCTTCAGTGATTTTAGGCTAAGAATACTCTTACCATGAAGACAAACTGCTGAGGTACTGAACAACTCCACAATAAATACATATTTTATATCAAAACAGAGCACCTTTTCAATTCAGTTGACCTGTATGATAAAATATTAAGACATGAAGCAGTGTTAATGTTTTCACTTGCATTTTGTGTGACATTAAGTGGCAATGGTTTACTGAGGTGTGTTCAATCCACAATGTAAGGAAGCTGGTTTCAAGGTGAAAAGTAACAGGAGTCATTTGGTAAGTCTGCTATAATGAGAAAAATGTTAAGTATGTGGGAAAAATTTTTGACAACTGTGTTAATTTGTCAAAGTGAAGAACACATTTTAAAAAATCTGTCTTCACATAATATCTCAGTAGTCTCTGTAACCACATTTAGCTTATCATTATCCAAAGCAGTAGTATTCATCTGATTCCACCCTGAGTTTCAGTGGCGATTTGCTGAAACCATTGCCATCAATAACCGTTTTATCCACAAAACAGTCAAGATCCGTGGGTGAAGGATTGTCTGAGAGGTCCTCTGCTAGAGTGTCCAGGTAACTACCCACAGACAGACTATCTAACCCGTCACTGTTAGCATCATTCAAGCTGTTGAGGCTGCCTCGCAGTGAGGTACCGTCCTGGCTGTCTGACAGGCTGTACAAGCTGCCCGTCAGGCTGCCATCTTGGCTGGCCACGCCGCCTTTGTCTTCTATCATCCAACGGATGGACTCGATGCCTTCGTTGATTGACATAAGCTGCTGCATCAGCTTCACATCGATGGCTCGCAGATGTGCCTGTGAGTTGGAGAAAAACATCACGGTCAGGTCTTGGTACTTGAGAATGATGCAGCATTTAAAGGCATAGTTCAGTATCTTGGAGAAGGTGGTTATTTGCTTTCTCACAGAGAGTTAGATGAGAAGATCAATACTCCTCTCACATCTGTATATTATATACAAGTCCACAGCAAACGGAGGTTGGCCTAGCTCCATCTGAAGGAAATAAAATGTCCAAAATGGGACCCCTAAAACTCACTAATCAACACATAAAACAAAAATGTGTTGTTTTGCAAGAGACTATTTTTTGGCCAGGAGCAGTAACTTCCTAGAGTTTGGGTGTTACTGTGACATAAAACCTTGAAATTAGTTAACGCTCCAATACTTCCAGTTCCCTTGTACAGAAAGCAGTGGGTTCCTTAAATGGGTTTTGGGTTTAAATGCCCAAAATAAGGTGGCTGGTTGACACAAGCCTTAGAGACTTTGCCCTATTACCTAAAATACTTCACGATGCTTGTAAATTTTGAAGCCTTTCCGTGTCTTAAAAAACATGGTTGCTCAGTGGCTAATTGAGACTACAGAGCATCATCACACTGAAGATGGCTTTACAGCCTCTTTGTGTTGATGAAGTCAAGCGACCGTTGTTTGTTTAAAGCATAACTTTAGCTTTTTGCTTCTGGCAATTGCATTTATGCTTTAAAGATTATAACAGTGGTGTTTATTTGTTAAGATTATCTCACGAACAAAACGTGCAAGAATCATAAACATTTGTTTTCCACAGGGCTTATTTTCTGCCATTGTCCAAGATCCAATGGGAAAATACCACTGGCTTTTTGTCAAGGGAACCGGGACGATATTAACTTATGTGGTGGCCAACAAATAAACATCCCTGCAGCACTCTATTGCCAGGAGACTCTGAAGTCATCGTGCCTTTCCACTAAATTGTTATACTAAGCTTAACTACCCCAGTGCTGGCTGTAGCCTTATATTAAACAAATGGATACGACAATGGCTTCAGTCTACTCAGAACTACTCTGTACTCTACTGTAAATCTGCTCCTTTAACATAGCTACTATGAGTTAGTACAATGAAAGTACCATCAAAGTGAATATAATACAAAACCAGAACTATAGCCATTACTAACCATTGTTAGCATTAAGGTTCAAAGTTCATTCTAGACTTTGGAAATAGCTGTTGAGAAAATAATCTCACCACAAGGTTAATCAAGTAGCTATTCGGAGCTTTCGATCATATAGCAAGGATTTAATTGGCAGGTTGGACCTTGGCTTTTTAGCAAACAAGGATGCAAAAGCTGAAAGTGCCCAGAAAACAATAGAAATTTAAAGATCGACCATTCTTTAACAACTCTGCAGTCTCCTACTGCTGAAGATCATGTGATATGAAGGAAAGCTCCAGATCAGCCACTAAATGAACCTTGTGGTGAGACTTTTTCCCTAAACAATTGTTTGCATTCTTACGTCCTCGCATGGCCAGAACACTATGTGCTGTTTTGTTTAGACTACAAGGCTTTGTTGTGAACAAAGAGCCTTAACTATGTGGCACCCAAAAAAGAACTTGCACCACTCGTGTAACAGCACAGCCAGGAAACAGTGTGTATCCAGGATTGTGAACGCTACACAGTATGGCCATTGATTTAACTCCCTGTCATGACAAACCATGCCATTGACTGGGGGGGGGGGGGTGTGGACAGCCTATGGGGTCACTGGAAGGGATTCCCCCTGTGTCTAACTGGGTGACCAACAGCTGTAACAGCCTGCTACATTCAAAATGCAGCGAGGCAGATGAAGGCACACGGGGCTGGTACAGTGTTCCAGACAGCTGGCTTGATACAACAGCCTTTCTTTGGAGTGGATTTGCAACCAGCCACACTGCTGCTGGTGTGTTTGCTTTGTGAGCATTACCACACGCTGTATACACACATGGAAGCCAAGCAGATGGAGTAATATTGCGATTTAAGTCCAAGCAGCTATCTCATGTTTATAAGATGGCACTAGTGGGTTGGTATCACAAAATGAGTTTGGGAAACACAATTAGTTCTGCATAATTTTCTCTGTACTAGATACTAACACTGAACCTACAACACCATGTTTAATTTGTCAAATGAAACCGATAAGAGCTGGTCACTAACCTTTCCAGAGTTCATTTGCTCTTTCGACAGGCAGTAGATTATTTCAGCCTCTGAATAATGTAAACATCTAGCTAAACACTACGATGCCAAAAGTGTGTGTGTGTGCATCTACCAGACTTGTGCGCACCAAAACATAGCAGTCTGATTGGATTAGTGATTAAGCTGTGAGGGGAGACACAAAAACAGGGAGGCCCAAGGTGGCCCACATTCAAAACGAGCTGTCTAACAGTAAGAGGCCACTAAAGGCATTACACTAAATTCATTTTTGAAAGTTAATTAGTTTCTTTTTTCATATTGGCACAACTAAATGATGGCACGGCTGTCAGGTTGCAACGCAAGTGAATTAAACCAAAGTATGGCTTGTTACATTTGAAAATACAAAATGTGCTACTTAAGGATCTTAATTGCTAGCATAAGCCTATCAACAGAAACTCTCTGGGCGATCAGTCAGCCTGCTGGCCATGACACAGCTCTACTACAGTCTGTAAAACTCGGTCAACAAGGCCATCTGCTCAGGAGTCCTAATACCTTTCATGACCTTACTTAAAAAAAAGGGGGGGGGGGTTGCTTTGACTCTGGATCTCACAAAGCCTCAGTCTAACAAGCATAGCATTAGAAAATAATTCAATTATAAGTGCTGGTAGTTGATATTGAAGTCATGAGAAGGTAATTACTCAGGCACAGTTTATTCTCACCACATACTTTGAATAATAAGAGACAAGGGGGGGGGGGGGTGCTCCCTGAGGTGAGGAGGCTTTATCAACAAAGGGTCTGTGCTGACTGCAGTGTGCAGGTGTGAATGGCTCTCACCTACTGACCGGTTTCTTTATAACTCAATAAGGCCCAACACCCATCAGTGGAACTTTGCATTTAACAATATGTAGATATGTAACCTCTTTTGCATCTTGTGAATGCATTTCCTGCGAGCTCTGGGTTGGTTAGCAACAAATGTGATACAGCAGAGAGAGCATAAGTTGAACTTTCCTAACATTTTGAGTATGCAGAATAGGTATTAACTAACTTGTGTAGCGTTATTTAGTCTTATATTCCATACATTTGTTTGTAGATAAATTAACAGCATGGGCAACTATGCAGTTAGTGTACTAGCTTGTAATTACAACTTTAAATTAGCCAAACCTATATTTCTCAGCTGTGTCGCAGTAGCCATATGGTTATTAACAGTTGGCATATTTCTCTTAGTTACTGTAAAGACTTATTGAGTTTTATTTGATACAGAAAAATATGCTTACCATCTCTTGTTTCAGGAATAGCATTTTGCTCTCCAGTCTTTTCAAGTCCGCATTATTAGCATACAGTTTGCGGGTGACTAAATGCGGCGTTGCCGACTTCTCGAGCTTGTCGTGATGCTTTCCTCCCGCGAGCGACCTAAAGAGACTGTCCGGGACTTTCAGCCCTAATTTAGTCTCTATATCCTTCAACTCAGGTAGGACGTTGTTATCTTCCTCCATTGTAGGCTCTCAGAAAGATGATTTTCTCTGGGTGAAATAGGAGCAGGCAGAGGAGTGAATGACACAGCCGCGAGTTGTCGGGGAGACGCGCGCGAGCTCTAGCCAACGGCAGAAAGTTGCGACGAGCGCGTGCGGTACACAACTTTGTCCTGCACGCTCACGGGATAAAGTGACGAGCCAAAAACACCTCACACCGCTGTTAAACCAGCAGACCTCCCATTCAAGCTGCTGACCAGTAGAGAGAGAGTTGCACGACAACGTGCTCTCCGTGGACCCTCCCACGGGGAGCTTCCTCTGAAACCTGACACCAGACAGGTGAAGTGACACCGGTGGTGAGGAAACACGAATACTGTACACATGGGAATGCATTTTTAGGAGCTTAAGGAGCACGCTGTCCCCAATAACATACAATGAGCAAGATATGTTGTGTTTTGTGTTACATATAAATATATTCTGGGGGAGTTTGGTAATGTTTTAATCACACTAAAGTGCACAGATGAGCTCCAGGGTCAGTGTAAAGTCCAACAAACTACTGTGCAGGCAACACATTTAATCATTTAAATAATTTGGCATGCACCCCGATCCAACAGCATTCTGGCATAAAAGTATACATGTAAAAACAGAATATCATTAATAACCATTTTACACACATTTTGTTCAAAATAAAAGAAAAAAAGATGGATCTGAATTACAACCTGTTAACAATGCATTTTTTTCTTTTTACGTCTCCATTCATTAATCATACATCAGGTTATTCCTAGTGTATCATTATAAACAAAAGCAGAACAACCCCCCTTCAAGTGTGATTTACCAAGGACATGCAGAGTTTCAGACACTGAACTATTGCACCCCCTTGTGGTCGTTACGGCTCTGTTAGTAGGCAGTGCATTTTCTAATTCCTAATACTTTATCTCTATGATGCCATTGTGTAACTAAACTGTGAAGTGAGATCAACACATAAAGTCTTATAGACTATAAACATGGTAGAACTTCTATAACTTTTAATTATCTTGCAGATATTAGTTTTGTACTACTCCATTACTTTAAATGTGTTCATTAAGGTACAGAACTTGTTCATCTATTATCAGAATCTATGTTCTTTACACCTGATCTCCTTACTAGTGAAACATCAGACAGTAAACTACAGAGGGCATCACTGCTGATACTGACATTTAAAAGCCCTGACCACAGTCACAGTTTAGCACCACCTGGTGGCATCACTATCACACCAACACTCCAGCTGTCCACGTTCACTTTATTTAAACACATTTTCAAACTGTCCCACAATCTGAAAATTTCAATGATTGAATCACTGCAATCTTTGCAAAACCAAACTCGTAAAAAGTATCTTTTCCAGTACAAAAATGCATCTTCACATATGCATTATTTGTGAAGAGAAATGAACTACATCAGCTTTGTTATAGGGGGCATGAATGCAGCCAAAAGATTACTTCCTATGACGCTGTAGCATTCAGGATCTACACATGCTCTCCACTGAGAACAGATTCAGGCTTAACATACTGCATAGCTGTGTCACAGTAAAAAGTAAAGAGAAGACAGAGGCTCATGTTTGAACACCGGAACTTATACTACAGATTGGCTTTTGTCAGCGTCGTAGCGCTGGTACTGCTCCCCGAGCAGAGGCTGGTGGCCTTCCATCTTGTAGGACCTGGCGCGCACGGCACATGTGGTGGCGGCAAAAATCACTGCGACGACGATGAGGGCAGAGACTATTGCCATGGTGATGATTTCAGTCATGGTGAAAGGTTGACCTAGAAAGATGGAAGAGGATGATTACTACCTTTGTTGTCTGGATTTATTTAAAGGCAGGACTGAAAGCAGAGCAACAAAAATGTGAGAGGACAGGACAAATTGGACACCTGGCCATTCAGCTTCGTAAGAGTAACCGAGATTTTCAGGTGCGGTCACAAACATCTCAGCGTTCGTCACTGGAGGCCAGAAAGGCACCATGTTGTAGCCTCTGTTGTGACCAATGGGGGCGTTCTCTTCAGGATACAGAGTCGAATCTGAAAGGAAATACTAGACGTTAGCCTAAAAGCTAATCATGCTAACAGTAAAACAGGTGATTATGTTCTTTTTTAAAACCTGGATTGTGTCTCCTCAACCATTCGTCAAATATAGCGTCGGTGTAGGTGTGGAGCAGGACGAAGATGGGGTCATTGGGTGAGAGGTGAGTCTGTCCCCCTGTCCCATTCAGGAACAGATGGGCCAGGTTGTGGAGGCTCCTCACCACCGGGTCATAGTTCCCCTTGGGGGCGCTGTAGCCTGCAAAAACAACATGGAAACATGTAGAAACCCTGTGTGACAGAGACGATGAGAAAACTAAACACCTTTTACTTACCTTCAATAGTGTTCCTGAAGCTTTCAGAGGAGGTGGAGTAGAAGGGTGGTGTGTCAAAAGCGTTAACCTGCAGACAGTCCGCCACATCCTGGGGCTCTGGGAGACGCTGGACCATTGGCCTGTTGACATTTCCTGCTGGGTTCCGTCTGATGGGAGAAGTCTCAGTGCCTGGAAGGAGACAGGAAGAAAGAACCGGATACAATGGACTTTAATTTCTCTGCACTGTTAAATCATTAGGGTCTTTAACATGGGGATTAACAATAGTCCTACTGTTGCAGATGGTTCCCAGTGTGTCGTAGTCCTCCACACTCTCACATATGACCCTCCACTGGGCGAAGATGGAGTTGGTGCTCAGGGAATTCATGTCAAAGCTGCTCCTGGCTCCCATCAGGTCATCTGTGCAGATGTCACATGTGTTCCCACCGATGGCAAAGTTCCAGTAGGGCAGAGCGAAGGAGGGGTCTTGCAGCATGTCCTGGTTGTGTGACAGAAATAAACGGAAGGATGACAGGGGTTGGAGTTTGTTTAGATCAAGCCTAGGAGTTTGCTCAAGGCTTTGTTTTATTATGCCGGTGATAATGTACCCCCATCCTCTTAGGTAATGTGAGACTATCCTTTAAGTCTCATTTGGTAATGGAGTCATAAGCTCAGAATAAATTGGTTATCATTTTCACACACTGTGATTTGCTTTAAAGACTGGCGATGACAATATCTCTTTGCCATGCATGAATAAATCTGAAAATTGGTTCTCTAAAAGCCTTTGTGGAAACAATTTTAGGGTCGCTAATCACTTAATGTGAAATATATAATATTTCTACATGAGGAGACAAATTGAGAATGCACATGCAGCCAGGGAGCAGGAAGGAGATTAGAATAAAGTGAGGATGGATCTGGAAATGGTGCAACTTTCTGGAAAGACAGACATTTTTTTAGAAGCTGCAGCAGGATGCTCATCATTTGAGATAAATACAACACATAAGCTATAATATATATGATTTAATTGGAGTGGGACAAGAGAGCTGGAACATTTTTTAGTTGTCTCAATGCATAATGACTTGAAAATTAAGCACTCTCTCCAACTTCGCATGTCTTTCAGTGAGCATATGCAACAGAGTAGAAACAATGAGTGATTAATTAGGGAGCACAGCTTAACCATAAACCTACACAAGACACGGAGAGCGTTTCTCTCCACACAGCAGCTTTAATTTCTGTGCTGTGTACACTTAAAAACGTGGGTAATTGTTAACCACTGGATGGATAAAATAATTACAGTTGCAGTTTAATAACCCCTCACACAAAAGCTCCATTTAAAGCTGTGGGTGTTTTCTCCACACTATCTCTACATTGATGGTGTGCTGATCAAACTGAATTTAAAACGCTTAAAATCACATTTTGCATGCTGCTCGCCCATGAGGGCGTGAAATTGCATTGGCAGTTATGGTTTCTTCACCAGTACAGTTGTGGGGAAACACATTAGGTAGAACAAATAAGAGTAAAGTAGAATTTTGGACAGAGATGTAAGTGGCGGATCTTCCAATAAGCAATGTAGGGGCCACCCAACATAAGGGATCCATATTCTCATAGTTTGTTGATGTTATTTGTTAGCTATGTTGTTTATTGTGCTGACCTCTTACTAGCTCTTGTTTTTGTTAGTAATACACATAATAACCAGGCACCAGAGGAAGCTTGCCTAGGGGCCAAATGTGCTCATTCTAGCACTGGTAAATTAAAAATGAGAAGAAACAGTCAGATTTTATCTTAAAATGCACCATCAGATTGTGTAAACACATCGCCATTACTCAAACTGTCACCCCTCTTGATACAGTATCCTACCTGCATGTCTCTCTCCAGCTGCAACAGGTGGTACCTGTGCCATGTGACAAAACCGGGCCCCTCGTGCGAGAAGTCCACTCCCCCGAAGCTGGCCTGCCCCGCGCCTAGGAACGTCTTGCTGACCGAGTAGTAGTGTGTCCACACGAAGTAATTGTAGATGGTGATGTTCTCGAACTGCACGGTGTTGCCGTCAGGTCCAAAAATCTCCGGGTAGCGCCGCGTGGCGATCACCAGGTCCGGGTGCACCGTGCGCTTGGCCCGGTCCAGCGCGTTCACGAACGCACGCTTCTCCTCCGCGCTGAGCTGCATCACGTTTCTTCTTACTGGGGGATTATAGCGGGAGGGAAAGTGGATTAACGCCATCAGTCATGCGTTAATTGGGGATCAGTTTTTAATGACTGAGAAAAGAAGTACAGAAATGTGCCTAACAGGCAGTGTTAATGACAGTTTTGATCAATTATGTAATCAAATGCCTCTTTTTCTGACTGTCAGGGCTGAAACTTTCAAATGCATATCAGCTTGCTTCATGGGATCCTAATTTGAATTAATGTTGAAAAAAATATCTGGTTTTGCTGTATAAAAATGGTTAAATAGACATTAAATGTGCCACTGAGCAACATCCCTCCCAATTCCAGATTTGCCAGCTATGACCTCTCCTAGCTCCAGATAAGTTAATATTCAATAAACCATCATATCTAAATATGTCCCCAGACTCCCCCAAGGACGCGCACTTACCGACAGAAACTCGCTGGTCACAGTTGGGCCCCGTCCATCCGTGTCTGCACCGGCCGCAGTTATAGCCGCTGAAGTTCCCGTTACATTGACAGGTACGGTTGAAGAAACGCACGGGCCATCGCTCCCGATCATCCCGTCCGTCGTGCGGGTACTGAGGGCCGTGCGGGCGCGCGTCCGCCGAGATGGACACACACTGTCCGCGCCCCGTGCTGGAGCCACACGGGTCGTTGTCGAGTCCAGAGGGCGACGGGCAGCACTGTCCACTCCTGAGTCCTTCGGGTGTCACACACTCCCTGGGGAACTGGGCGCTCACGACCACCGCGCCCACAAGCACCAAAACACAGCCCTGCCACATTATCCAAAAAGACGGTTGCCAGATTTTACGCACGGCTGATTTGGAGTCAGTTGTACCGATTGATGCCACCTGTAAATATACACTTGGTCTAACTCTTTATCCAAAATGAATGTGCATCACTTCTACACAGCAGGACTGGTTTTCTCTGTCAACAAAGTGTGTGTAAAGCTTCCCCTTCCATGCGCCCAGGCCCCTGCTTCTATTTCCCCCCAAATCAGTGAACCGTTGACCTTAAATACCGGATTAGCGCATGACTACCCGGATTTGACTCCCGCGTGATGCCATCACATAACATCATATTTCCTACTGGGGATGGAGGGAGAGAGGGTGGTGTGATCCCTCATGCATAACCTTATTCTTCTCAAACCTCACTGGACTTCTGCAGTCACCAACACTGAATGTGAGGAAGTCTAATTAAATACAAAATTGTTTCAGATTAAAACACAAATTATGATGAAGGAGCAGGCCTACCCATAAACTTTAATGTGTGTACATGGACTGCAAGGTTTCATCACGCCTTTACGAGCACTATATGAAAATTAATTTGTTATGAAGTGGTAGCCTTTTGCAAACGGAGCCCCTGGCACACAGGCATTTGCGGAATTGAAATGATCAGCTGGGTGCTGAAACCAAGATCAGAAATACAATGTGGATCTTGTTTATTTTATCAACTACTGCACTTGTAAACTCTCAAGTTTGTCTGATGAAGAAAATCAAACAGAAACTCAAATATTGAATATCCTGATTGTCCCAGTGTATTAAATAAATTCCTCCCACTGTATAAACTGCCTGGGTCTAATCTTGAAAAGTGTCACAGGTTGTGAGGGTGATCATATTGCGGGTCACTTGACTTCTCAAGAAGGCGTTTCTCTCTCTCCACCTCCCTCTTCTTCCCCCAGCCTTAAGGCTGCTTGTGCTGCCAAAAGCATGTGAGACATGGAGGCATGAAGGGCATTTATTCTACAAACACACGTCTTCTAGGAATGCAGGATTTTTTCTGTGATTTTTATGTTTCAAATCAAAGTGAATCGGATGCAATTTAATGAAAAGATCTTTCAAACATCCACTTCATCAGTTAAAAGCACTTAGGGGTGTAAAATGATTTGCAGTGGAAACATTTGTAAAAGCAGGCATGTTTGACAAGGTTTGCATTAACAAACAATCTCAAACTAAAGGCATGCTCGAGATTTTACACTTCCATTAAGATAGAAGACTTGCTAGAAACGGGATTATCAAAAAGGAATGGTGGGAGCAATTTAATTTGGTAGGAAAAGGACTTTTTTGGAAGTACATACAGATAAGAAGCTGTATTATGTCAAAGTCCTACAATATAACTGAAAACATAATTAAAAACCATCTCAAATTACCACCAGAATTGTATAAAGTAACCAACTCCCTCCTGCGTCATATGTCTCTTAATGTGAAATTGCTGTGGCAAAGGGATATTGGGGAAGAAACTGATGGTGACAGATGGTCTAAAATTGTGTCAGGCTGTGGTAAATATGTGACAAAAGCAATAAAAGGTACTGCACAGATATTATCACGCACCGTTACAACTCTACAGAATGAGGCTGCTAAATAACAACAGCAGTTGGAAATGTAAAACTGAAATAGGAGCTTTCCTGCACTGCATATGGGAATGTAGTTTGGTCAGACCGCTCTGGATTAGAGTATTAGAAATTTTAAGTGGTTGGTTTGGTTCAGAAATCCCCTCAAGTCCAAAGTTGTGTTTACTGGGGGATCGGTCACAAATACCAGACGTATCCAAGTGCGCATTTTCTGTTATTACTGTGGGTCTAATAACTGTCTGACAGGTTATTCTAAGACACTGGAAGACAACAAAGGCCCTGGAATTGAAAGAAAGGGTTAATGCAATGGTGGCAATAGCATCTTATGAATGTATGCTCAGTAGAATAAATGGCAATCAGGAGAAAGGAGAATCTCCTTGAGAGTGGTTGTGGACTCAAATTAAAATGGAAGATAAGCAGACATAATTATGAACTTGCCCTGTGATTATGTGACCCTCTAAAGTTATGTATGAGGACATATGTGTCACATTTTGTTAATTTTTCTTTATATACTGGAGTCCACCTCCATATTATAAAAAATACGTGCCCTATAATTTTGCATCCCCAGAAAATAATATATGTATGCCATGTACCGAGCCTTTCAAACCAATAAAAACTTGAATTATTAAGAAAAAATAATGATCACTATTGATACAGGAGGGTCGACATTTGCAGGCCAGTCGCCAGAATAAAATGTCAGCATTGTACATTTCTGCAAACCAGATACATTGGTTACATCTGCACATTTCATACATGTGACATAAATCACAGTAGATTAGTTTGTCATTAGTCAGAGGAGGGGATAGTAGATGGCATGACACCCAATTCTCTGGGCAGTCAACCACCACCAGCAACAGCTGCTCACTGTTCCTGACCAATAAATGTGGGTGTTTTTTACACATTTATTGTGACGATAGGGTTGACCTATCCTGACGTTTACGTTTGACGTACTGCTCAAACTCCAGCAATGGTTCGTCCACTTCTCATGATGCAGCTCAAAAGCGTCTTACCTTGTGTTGCATTCACATATAGGATGGGCTGTCAGAGGGGGAGATTCTTATTTTTGCAACTTTACCATATCAGACTTTATCTATGAAATTTGGCTTTACTTTGGCTGACACGAGGCATCCATGCTTGTTTGGTTTTCAGCCTCCAAGTGGGACATGTCAGTTTCTCAATCATGATTACAACCTGGATGTTAATGTGAACACTCTTAACAAGGTGGAAACTGGCAATTCTGATACCTCCAAGATGACTTGAATGCAGCATTACACCCTCCATGCCTGGTAAATGCCCATATCTTCCTAGCTTCATTAGTCCAGTTTGAAATTATGTTACACACGTTTCAACTCCAAACCAATGCTAAGATGATGACATCATCAGGATTATTTTTGCGTACTTGACAAAGACCGAAAGAAGAACTGATAAAACTATTTGTCCATGTAGAGTATTACTATTCTTCTGTGTGAAATTGGTGGTGAGCCCCTATAGAGATGAGTCACAATAAGACTCCAGTGTGATGCAAGTGGAGTCAGCATGTGCAAAAATGTGTTTAATTACCTGAGTTAGAGAAACGTAAATAAATAACTCTCCTTGTGTACTTTTTTTCTTGCTTACCTTTTCTATGAACCGCCTGTGCAGCATTCATTTGAATTCTCCCTCTGATCGCCCCTCCAGCGTGTGCACTGTTTGTTTATTTGCTTCGGTGCTCTGCAGGTGACAGAGTTGGGCTGAAAACAAAAAACATTTGAATCGTTTAAATGAGCTGATGATACCGGTGGCAAAATCTTGATTGTCTTTGGTGTGCTGCTACTATAACCGCAGGACATTCTTCCTGACAAGGAAAATGACTGGTTGGTATTGTTGACAAAACCTACAGAGATAACCCTGAGGAGTACGAATCTAGGGCAAGATCAGCAAGGCAGGTTCTGCCTAAAACCTCCCAAGTCTTAAATTCTTCCCATAATCCACTGCAAGCTTTATACTGGGTTACAGAGAGGACGCTGGATAGTGTGAACAACACTTGTTTGGTTGCATTAATTGACATCTATATCAGATATCCTGAGGGGATCAGCACCCACTAATTAGCAAACTGATGCTTCACAAATTCACTCATCAAATGATGGTGGAGTTCTTTCATATGAGGAAAAAAACAATGTTAGATGTTTTCACTTCAAAGACTGCACATTTTATTGAAGGTATACTGTGCATGATTTCCCTAAAAAACAATGCATAGATATATACAATTGTAATCCCTCCCAATCATCACTTCCGACACACTAGATGTGTAAGGCGGTGTATTCATCTGCAGAGACCTTGCCCTCTGCTTCTATTTGCTTTGCTATGTTCAGGATGTTCCTCCGCACAGCACACAGGTGAGGTCAGGGCTATATACAGTATAAAGGGAGCAACCAGGTGCCAGACAGTAAAGATGCATTCAAGAAGGAGCTACAAAAATCATAGACACAGTGCCAAAAACATACATACAACATAAACACACAACACACAAACATAGCGAGGCGAAAGGCCAAATGGACAGAGCTGGGGTTGGCTTCACTTTCACTAACGATACTGTCCACAGTTTCTTTAATGAGTGGAGCAGCGGATTACCAGTGCTTCTTAAAAACAGTAAAAAAGCTAATAAGGCAGTATTATTAGCAGTAAAACAGCCCTATCAGATGCCGGCAAATGTTGAATCCAAACTGAGATGGAAAATGTATGCAAGTGCAGTACTTAAAGTTACAGTGTGTAACTTCAAAAAAACTCATATTTGCTGAAACTGCTCCATCCTGACGGTAGCACATGAGACAGATAATCCGTGAAAAGATCCTGTTCCTCTGGCTTTCTGCTGTTCTTCAGAACTGAAAGTGAAATCAAGCTTTTCATTTACTTGTCTTTGCCTTGTACAGTGGTGGAAAAAAGTTTTCGGACACCCTTAAAATTTTACACAATCTCAAATATTATCATGAAATATTTGTGGAAAAATCTTTTTTGTGTTTCAAAAGGTGTGGCTGCATTAGACAGATACAAACAAATACAAATTATATTTTTTTGTTTATTGTTTACAAGAAAAACTAACAAAACTAAATTCTTGACAGTTTCAATATGTCAGTTCTCAACATTGTCGGTATCAAAGTCAACAAATAACAGAGAATGTGTTCAAAACTGAACAAAAAATAAATAAACCATCACATCATCAAATTAATATTTAGTAGTCCTGCCATTGGCACGTAGTAGAGCTCTAATCCTGGCTGGCATGTTCCCCATGAGCCTTTCACACTGTTGAGGGGTAATTTTGTCCCATTCTTCTTGAATTACTGCTTTTAATTCTTCTAAATTCTTTGGTTTATGCTTTGAAACAGACCTTTTGATAATCCACCACAGATTTTCAATGGGGCTCATGTCCGGGGATTGAGCTGGCCACTCTAAGACCTGGATACTGTGCTCCTGCAGCCAAGTTCTACTGGCCTTGGATGTGTGGCAAGGGGCATTATCTTGTTGAAACATCCAGTTTTTACCTCGACGGAACAGTGCACGTGCAGAAGGGAGCATGTGGGTTTTGAGAATGGTACAATACTTGGTAGAGTTCAATGTGCCATCACAGACAGTGAGATGACCAACACCAGCAG